TTTTTTCTTTTCGGTTTCTGTGCCATCATCTTCCCCGCCCTGTTGATCCTTCATTCTTTGCTCATATCTAGCTGCCATAGCTTCTACATCTCCAGCTAATTCCAATTCAGATGGATCTAAGCTGACTTCAACTTCACCAGGTTTATTTGACGCAGCAGTTGGTATGTCATACATGTGTGTAGATGCCATCATAGAGCCACGGACAGTGTCTACCTTCTTCTCTGGTAAGACATGGTAGAGTGGTTGTTGTTCGCTACTTTCCATTTCAGATTCAATCTTTCGTTTTCTTAATTCAATATATTCGGGTGTTTCGTAACCACTTGGTAATCCAGACATAATTCCTGATGGTGTAGCTAAGCCTTCAGCGACCGGTGTGGCAATACCACTAGCGTCAATTGCTACTTCTTCGGTTTCTTTAACTTCTTCTTCCTCTTCCTCCTCTTCACTTTCTTCTGCATCCGATTCAGAATCTGGTTCTCCCCACATAGATTTATCAATTTGCTCTTCAGCTACATGTGATTCATCATAATCAGATGGTGTACCAAACACATTACCATAAAGAGGTCGACCACGTTCATCTACAGGAGGTTTTCCCCAACCACCAGCATGGTAACCGAAAGAACATCCTTCAGGAATGGGAGCATTAAGACCAGGTATTTTAAGTGCTGGATAAGACGGCGGTGGACCATAACGCTGCATAGCGATAAGCCACGGTGGAGGAACTTTGTGAGCGTTATGACCGACTGGCATACCTAACGCAGTACGTAATTCAGCACTTAAGTCACCAGGTTTCTTTTCTCTAAGTTTAGTCTCATATTCTTTGCCTTCATAATACAAGTCACCATGAAGAGATAATCTTGGTTTAGTTTGCAATTTAAAAAACGCGTCATGTAATTTTTTGTAATCAATATCAATCTTTCCCATTTTAGGYCGAACCCTTTCTCTCATTTTATTTTTTAACGACTTTTCATCTTCTTTTTCTTGATGAGCAGCTCTCATCTCCATGATACCAGTGCGCTTAATAAAATCAGGTAAATCAAATGGTGGCTTTTCAATACCTCGTTTACCTTGTAAATACTTACGCTTAAAGCACCAATGACGAGGTACAGGTACTGTGTTACGATGTGCTTTTAATTGTATTAAGAGATGAGGATCTCTGGCAGTAACGTCATGCATTTCTACAACATCTGGTCTAGAAACAAGTTGCTTTAATTCAGCTACACTTAAACGAGTAACCTTTTTAAATTGCCTTCTTGACAATTTATCAGAGCCCTTCTGCTGATTTTCTCCATCTTTATCTCTAAGATCATCATCATCTTCTTGTTCAGGGAGCTTAGGCACTTTCTTTAAATCTAAACTGGGTAAAGTAGCTTCTTGACCACCATCTAGATCTGCTGGTTTTTGTTCTGGTTCAGGAATTTTGAAATTCTCAAACACTTTAGCATATTGCCTATACATAGGTACAAGGTTGAACACGCTTAAAGTTTCTTGTATGTATTCAACCTCAATATCTAATTTATCAACCTTGTTCTCTTTGTCTGAGGATGTTGTTTCTTTTACTTTTTGCTCATTTTTTAATTGTTTCTTCTTTTTTTTCTTATACTTTTTCTTCCTTCTTTTAGCTACTTTACGATCTTTAGAAGACATTTTAACTATTTGTTCTTCTTCATCATCATCATCSTCATAATCATCCTCATCCTCAACATCTTCAACTGTAGGCTGTACAACTTCGGTGTTATCTTCTTGTGAATACTCTGTTGCTTGAATATTGTTCAATGCTTGTTCAAGGGCTGGGGGAAGAGTAACATCTTCTCCAGGTGGAATTAGCAAATCTTCTTCGAAAACTTCTGGTTCATACATATTTGAACCACACAAGAAATTTGAACAGATATTTTAATTATAAAATAAGCTTACGGTTGTGAATCTTTTTTGAAAGCTCTTGTGTTCTGCTGAATGAATTAATATATCAATGTTTCTTCAAAATGGAACACAATCGTCAATCACTACTTCTGTCAGCAATCATCACTTTTCCACCTAGAAACATATGGATTTAAATATTAAATATATATTACATGTAGATACATAATAAACTTGTTAAATGTAAAATTATTAWAAAACTTTTATAACTAAGTAAAAGCTATCAGAAATGTAAGTTAGGTAATAACTTTATTAAATTAACCAGTACTATCTAGAAAATAAAATAACATATACATAAAAATTATTAATCAATTATAGATTACTCATGTGGTATCTTATAGATTTTTATCTGTCTGATTTAAATAAAATTTATTATTAAGAATTTATTCTACAAAGCTACTCATAAAAAACTAATTTACAGATGATTGTAGTWGTTGTAATCTGAATATTTTTTATAGGCACTTATACAGTAACAAGACTTTTAAATAAAACGTAAAAGTAAATTAGTAATAACAATATATTATATTCAATTAATAGAAGCATAGATAATAATTATCCAATAAACACAAAAATTAAAATCAAAACAATTTTATTATGGTTCTTTAATTATTACTTGTTAAACATTTCTAAAWATTTTAGCGGGTATCTAATAAAAATACATTTTTAATGATTTAATGTACGTGCTTAGAACTACACATAGTACTGTGACAAGCTGATATCATATATCATAATAATATAATAAAATAGGTATAAAAGTATAAATTTAACTGTTTTAAGACTTATTTGCCATTTTTTTATGAATATATCGCATACTGGACTATATACTATATTTTAAGTTAAAAATACTGCCAACACGGTTGTTTATTGGTAAGGAAATAAGAAACAAAAACCAAAAACTAAATAATAAGAGCAATAACATTATATTTATATACCTAAAAAAGAGTTGAGAGTAAGTTTGAAAAAGTAACAATAAAATATTCATACCTAAATATATAATATTTTTTTTTATGAAAGTTTATACCTAGTAATAAGTTCATAACAAATAATAATTACAAAAAATTATRGTTTAATGACTATTTAAGTTATCAATAGGTATAGTTTACGTGTTACTTTGTAATTGATTATTTACATAGCAAGAGTCAATAACATACAATTATGCATAAAAAAGAAAAAGTGGTGGATAACTCGCATAGTGGACTTCATACTTCATACTATAGTTATAGCTTTCAGGTTTATTTGAAAGTTCAGAGCACAATTTACACAAAACAATTATGATTAACATACCATTTTATTTGATTCCATTTGAACTTTGGAGACAAACTTTTTCAAACTTGACGGCTGGAAGGCAACATTWAACTTGAGAGAAGCGCCAACCACGAGTAAGACAACACACTAAACACAATCACACGAAACACAGAAAGTTAAGTGCTTAATAATAATAATATGTCGGCCTGTTTTCTGTGTTTTGTTGATAGTTGATGATAAAATTGAACAGATAACAAAATAGACGCCGTGTGAATATCTGGGAGGTTGTAATTTTCGCGCTATTTTTCGGAAATTTTAGGTTAGCCGGTTTTCATAATAAATAATAATATTCTTATTCTTGTTTAATAATATTGTAAATTGATGATCTTTGATAGTTTATAATAAATTCTTGGAATCTTTAAAATTGTAAACCGTAAACCATCATAACCATAAGCTTTAGGCTATAATTGTTAACTTTTAGCAGCTATAACTTATAGCTAACCATTAGCAACTAGCAAGTAGCAACCGTAAAACATCCCGTGCTCACGGTCAAATAAGATATTTTTTTTCACTATTTAACTATTTCCTACTCGTGGAGTAGCTTCTATAGCATTAATCAATAATCCGTAATAAGCTTTGGTCTTTACTCTTTACTAAGGTAAGATTACTTTATCGTGACTTAATCTTTGACTATTTGCCACTTACCGAGTTTGTTTGGAATTTTGAACACTGCTCCATAGACGAAAGTAGGTATTGAAGTTTATCTATAGTGAATAATAACTTTAAATATATTTAGCTTAATAAAATGCCCATTCTTAAATTTGATCTTTTTTCAACGGAAGTGTCCAAATCTCAATTACCTATATAGTTCCTATTCTTAGAATAGAGACACTCAGTTGAATGGGAGTCAGTTTGTCCAAGTTTAAATGTTCGAAGATGAT